TTGTCAGATATGATTTTTATCAAATTTCTCAATATAATTTTCTAGTGATCAGAAGGTTTCTCCATTTTGGTTTTAGATTATTTTACACAATTATGCTCCATATATTATATATATTATGTAATATATATATATAGACAAATGGGATCTAATTAAACTTAGGCTTTGCACAGCAGAAGAAACTATCATTAGAGTGAACCAGCAACTAACAGAATAGGAAAAAAATTTTGCAATCTACCCATCTGACAAAGGGCTAATAACCAAAATCTACAAAAAACTTAAATTTACAAGAAAAAAACAACCCCATCAAAAAATGGGTGAAGGATATGAACAGACACTTTTCAAAAGAAGACAGTTATGCGCCAACAAACATGAAAAAAAGCTCATCGTCACTGATCATTACAGAAATGCAAATCAAAACCACATTGAGATACCATCTCACGCCAGTTAGAATGGTGATCATTAAAAAAAAAAAATCAAGAGACAACGGATGCTGGAGAGGATGTGGAGAAATAGGAACATTTTTACCCTGTTGGTGGGAACGTAAATTAGTTCAACCATTGTGGAAGACAGTGTGGTGATTCCTCAAGAATCTAGAAATAGAAATACCATTTGACCCAGCAATCCTATTACTGGGTATATACCCAAAGCACTATAAATCATTCTATTATAAAGACACATGCATGTGTATATTTACTGCAGCACTGTTTACAATGGCAGACATGGAACCAACCCAAATGCCCATCAGTGTTATAGACTGGATAAAGAAAATGTGGCACATATACACCATGGAATACTATACAGCCATAAAAAGGATGACTTCATGTCCTTTGCAGGGACATGGATGAAGCTGGAAACCATCATTCTCAGCAAACTGATACAAGAACAGAAAACCAGACACTGCATGTTCTCACTCATGAGTGTTGAACAATAACATATGGACACAGGGAGGGGAACATCATCACACACCAGGGCCTGTCGGGAGATTGGGGAAATTGGGGAGTGCTAACATTAGGAGGAATACCTAATGTAGATGACGGGGGGATGGATGCATCAAACCACCATGGCACGTGTATACCTATGTAACAAACCTACATGATCTGTACATGTACCCCAGAACTTAAAGTATAATAATTATATATAAATATATGTATACATATATATTGTATAACATATATATGATATATGTGTATATCATATATATGTATGTGTGTGTGTGTGCGTGCGTGTGTGTGTGTGTGTGTATATATTTTGAGACAGTGTTGCTCTGTCGCCCAGGCTGGAGTGCAGTGGTGCAATCTTGGCTCACTGAAACCTCCACCGTCTGTGTTCCAGCTATTCTGTCTCGGCCTCCCAAGTAACTGGGATTACAGGTACACACCACCATGCCTGGCTAATTTTTGTGTTTTTAGTAGAGACGGAGTTTTACCATGTTGGCCAGGCTGGTCTCAAACTCCTGACCTCAGGTGATCTACCCGCCTCAGTATCCCAAAGTATTGGGATTATAGGCATGAGCCACCACACCCATTCCCTTGTTTATAACCAACCTAATGGATGTTCACACACACCTTCAGGATCCAGTTCTTTCATGGTATATTCTAATTCTAGTTATACATTCACTTGTTGAATCCACTCAAACATAGTAAAGATGTAAAATTTTTGTCTTATGCAGTGTTTTCCTATTTTTATTCTTGTTCATCATCACTATAAAACTTATGGTTTTTTGTGTCTTATATGATAATGGTTCTACTTCATAATCTTTAGTAAAATTCCTCAGAAGACACACCTGGATCAGGCTTCTATAATAACATTACCCTGGACTATTGTAATGAGGGATGTTTTTTCCTTTTATCACTATTGTAACATTCTATAATAACATTACCCTGGACTATTGTAATGAGGGATGTTTTTTTCCTTTCCTTTATCACTATTACCCACTGGGGTATCTTTGACTCTATTTGACATTTTCTTGGTTACAAAAGAACAAAAAAAAAGCAACAAAATATTAGCACACAGTGGATATTTTGGGAAGAATGCCATGATACCACTAAATCTTAAATCAGTTTAAGCCAGGTTTTGCTGCGAGGTAAGTTTTGGTGCCAAACTTTTGGTTTAAAGAGCTTCTTAGACTTCAAAATTGTGAATAAGGAATTGTGAACTGAATGTTTTGGAATAAAGTTTTATGTGATGAAAGAAATATCAGTTCCCAGATACATTCATTTACTCTTAGGGACTTAGGACAGTGACTCTCAATTTTTTTTTCCCCAACCAGAGACCCCTTTAGCCTTGGAGTTATGTCTGTACAACTATCAACAAAGGTTCTGACTGCAGTGAATAACCAGCTTAACCACACTGAAATGATGTCATTTATAGAAACAAACATTTTGTTCTATATACCAACTGAGGTTACAAATAAAATTTATTTACATATATATGTAAAATAAAACAGATTCCTTTTACTAGTTTTACCAGAAAAGGTCTTAGGCTGCCAGTGCCCCAGGCTCTGCACACAAAAATGAGTGGGTGGTCCTTAAAAATATAAAAGTGAGGGCTAGGTATGGTGGCTCACACCTGCAATCCTAGCACTTTGGGAGGCAGAGGCAGGTGGATCACTTGAGGTCAGGAGTTCGAGACCAGCCTGGCCGATATGGTGAAACCCCCTCTCTTCTAAAAATACAAAAAGTAGCCATCGGGTGTGGTGGCATGTGCCTATAATTCCAGGTGCTCGGGAGGCTGAGGCAGGAGAATCACTTGAACCTGGGAGGCGGAGGTTGCAGTGACCCAAGATCGCACCACTGCATTCCAGCCTGGGTGACAGAGCGAGACCATCTCAGCAAAA